AGAAATTTCCCCCCAAAGCGCTGTCACCAAAAAGTGGGTTACATGAATTTGAACTGGAAGAAAATCACTCTCCATTTGTAGTTTAATATCCCAGAAGTGATTATCTCATTTTAAGAGGTACATTTTCTCCATATTAGATGTAATTTAGATTAAATCAAATTCTTTAGTTTTGGTACTGGAAATCCTCACATCGAACCATTGTGAGCAAAAATAGGCATCAATTACGTGTCTTTTTATGATGTTTCTTTTCATATTCTGTCAGAAAAAGTGCAGAAGTGAAAGAGTTGCTTTCTTGTTCTTCCTTTCTTTCTTTTTACCACTCTAGTGTTTTCTTTTTTCATCAGGCAGTAAAGTCCAACAAGCCGGTTGCGTGACATGAATCCATTTTTTTTTTCATTGTCATTTAATTTATTTTGAAGCATGATATGATTTAACAATGTTTACACTGAATGCTTCATAAACATGCATCATGTTTCAAAAAGGAGTAGGATGAAGGTGGTAAAGGACAATTATTTACAGTAAGACAAACAGTATACCAACTTTTTATATATAACTCTTTTTTGTATTCATCAAAAACACTTTTCTTATATTCTTTTTTTAATTGCTGGATGTTTTTACATTGTTTAATGTTTTCAGGCCAGCTGTTCCAGAGCTCCCCTCTGAGCTCCATTTTTAAACTAAAGCCACTTTTTGCTGTTCGAACATACTTAGTTTTGAAATTTAATTTTCCTCTTCGATTATATTTTCCATCTCTATCAGAAAAAAATTGTTGTATGTGCGCAGGAAGTAAGTTATTTCTTGCTTTATAAAGAATTTGAGCAGTTCTGAAATTGATCAGATCTACAAATTTGAGAACTCTTGAATCTAGGAATAAACAGTGAGTGTGATCTCTATAATGTTTGTTACTCGTTACTCGTATTGCTTTCTTTTGCGTAATAATCAATGGTTGAATGTTTGTTTTGTAAGTGTGACTTCACACTTTAACACAATCGGTTAGATAGGACTGAGGGGTTATCACCGCTTTATTCTGTGACTCTGGTTATATTTAGCTCCGCCCCATCTGCTGCGTTCTGTTACTGGGATGTAAACCTTGTTACACTCACACACACACACACACACAAACACACACACACACACACACACACACACCAAACACACACACACACACACACACAACGCACCCAATCTCCACAGTTCACTGAATCATCAGTCATGCGCTCAAACATATTTAGAGAGCGGGGAGCCCTCTGAATATGTCGACAGGCCGCATAAAGATTTTATCGTTTGTCTATTTAAAAACAGCCAGAGCTCACCTCCTGTGAACGGGCTGTTTACAGTGTGTGTGTTTCCGGATTGGAAGTGGCAGCGATCAAGAAATGCACGACGTTTTCTGTCCTCACCCTGAAACAGGACGAGATGTCTGTCTCTGTGAGTTATATCGATCACAGATCACGCAGGCGGGCGGTCTAACAGGCCTACGCTGCATTATAGATGACGGCAATGCAGCCTTAAAATGACTTTTTATGTGTTCGGACAAAAGCCATTTTTCTCTAAAGCTGCTGAGTGGACACAACAGCATCGTTGAACAAAGATTAATGTTGCACCATCTGTTTCTTAACCCTTTAAAGCCAAGAAAAATAGGAAGAATGTTGGATTTTTTTAGTCTGAATCTTTCTTTGGCCCCTCAACAACACATGAAGAAAAAAAAACAGAAATTATTTTGATCAAATTAGCGTGCAATGAGTCAAAAATATATGTAGGTGTAGTCTTCTACTGGCTGTTATCAGGTATATCTGAATGTGTACAACAGGGGTTTGAGCAAAGCTTTTACCACTGAATGATGCAAAAAGTCTAAGATCCAAAAGACTTCAGAAACCGTATCTATCAAATATGAGACATTTGGCATTATAGGGTTAAAGCTGTTTAAAAAAAAAACATCGAACAACATAAACAATCCGCACTCGAATCCAAAAGCCACATACGGCTTGAAAGAATAATCAAAAATAGGACACAGATGAACACATGAATATGCAGATGGCCTCTCTGTGCACAGTCACTACAAATGAATGCAAATCACCACAAAGAGAGGCTAACAGCACAAAAAAACATCATCCTCACATGTAAAAAGCTCCTGGTTATCTCCAAATGATCGGCACAAGATGGAAAACAACCCCGATTAAATTATCATTGAACCTAAATGACAACGTTAAAGATGCTGAACAGACACAAACTTAATCAGATTCAACAGCATGACGCACGAAAGAACAAAGTCAGGCAACAAATGTGTACATCCGTGTATGAACAGAAGCTAAATTTACTCATTTGGAACAGTAAAGAAACCTCAGAGTGATCTAAGTTAAGCGGGAGAAAATATCTATACTTGTTTAGCATGAAATTGTAGTTTCGCTCTGAGTCTGGGCACCTTGCTTCTTGACAAGTCTTACCCCGGGGGGCTTCACCAGAGTGGGCGGATTTCAGACATCAGCCATAGTTTAACTTGCTTTCTAGAAGTTTCTGCTCTGTGAGATAAACACCTACTTCAGTGGGGTCCATCCAAACAAAAACGGATTAGCAGTTTAGATTTAGGCTGATCACTTTTTACAGGAATGTACTGTTAGAATTTGGCTAACGTTAGTCACTTTAGCATTGTATGCTATCACATTATCTATGTAGATTACTGATTGTTTTATTCTTTTTAGAACTATATTTTGGTCAACACAAACACACCATTTGTTACCACATTCCTGTCATTTGCATGAATTAGGACCTGGCCTGTTCATGCCCAGAGGTAACTGGCCAATAGGACTTACCATAAAGTTTGCATGAAATAAGTTCAACATAGCCTGGGAATCCTTCTTTTTTCCTTTGTGTTGTTAGAATTTGGCTATAATTACTCACTTTAGCATTGTATGCTATCACATGATTACTGATTGTTTTAATTTCTTATAGAACTATATTTGTACCACAGACTCTCTTTTCTCTCTTTTTCTCTCTCTGTTGCATTAGATCCACCTTTAGGTCAACACACACACACACACACCATTTGTTAGCACATTCCTGTCATCTGCATGAATTAGGACCTGGCCTGTTCCTGCCCAGAGGTAACTGGCCAATGGGACTTGGTTGTGTCCAGTCCTCCTTTGAGGAGGCGGATGGAGCCCAGGAGATAATGCCCATCACCCAGATCTCAGGGCTCTTTGCCCACTGAGACCCAGAGAGAGGTTTTAGTCTGTCAGAGCCCAGCTGATACACTTAACTGTGTCCAATAAATGTCAACTTTTTACTCAGAATCAGAATAAGGTTTATTGCAATTAGGTTTTTGACTTACAAGGAATTTGCCTTGGTGTTTGGTGAACAACACTTCCATGAGAAGCAAGGAAATACCATGTAGAAATAAAAATATAGAACAGAAAATATAAAACTAAAAAGTACAATCTTTAAAAAATATAGATCTGAGAATAGAATATGGATATATTACGAATATCAAAAGTATGTATACAGGTGTGAATGTACAAATGAACAATTGAAATGTGCAATGTTGATCTACTCTGGTTTATTCTCAGGTTTCCAACTAAAGAATCGGGTTAACAGTACCAATAAGAAAATAAACATGTGCCACTGAATAAACATGGATAAGGGATGAGGAGTGGCCCTTAAACCTTTACTCCACCATGTGTAAATCAGCCCTCAGAGCAAACGTTTACCTTAATGCTCTGAAAGGATAATCACCGTTTGTGCATCTATTTCCCAGAGTGGCTCTGGGTCAGATTTTCTGCTCCGCTGCGGTCAGTGATTAAGATACTGGACGCACTCCAATGATCACAAATCCTTTCATCTCTCCTACCTTTCCCTCCTCACTGCCTCATTTCCTCTCTTTTCTCTTTTCCTTCTCTTCTCAGCTCAGTTCTCCATATGAATATCAATCTTTTTCCCCCTCTCTCTTTTATCTACCTCTAATTACATCTTCTTCTACTAGTTAATAATAATAATTTCCCTCTGGGATTATTAAAGTATTTCTGATTCTGATTCTGCTTAACTTTCTTCCATCAACTTCCTGCTCTTTATACCCTCATTCTTCACTAAATTATAACATCTTTTCGTCATGTTTACACGCCCACTTGCTTTTAATTCCTGATAACCTCTATCAAGACCTCAGGGCTCCACTAAAGACAACTTATAAACAACCCTAGTCCTCAGCCATTTTTTACCTGAAGGCATCAGTTCATCCAAAACAACCAGAAATGAGTCAGTTCAACTTTAGTCAGGTACTGTAGTTGCTGTGAAACTATAAAGAACTATCAGATTCATACTAATGGACACATTGCTTTAAGAAGGGTTGTTTTAATCGCAGGTTTTCAGACAGTTAAGCCCTGACAGAAACTTCCTATCTGCCCTCTGTTTGTGGCTGTATCTCCAGCAGCAGACATAGAAACATGTCCTGTAAACACACTCTAATCGCTCTCGGTTTTTCCTGAAATCTTCCCTCAAAGCAACATTTGCATTCATCAACATTCATTTGCCTTTTCCCCACATTCTTGTGCAGATCAATTAGTTGGCCTACTTTAAGTAAACCCATGGAATAAAAACACAAAAGGAGAGGCTGAATGGTTGATTTGACAGGAATTTTGCCATTTTAAAAATTCTAAAGCTGAAAAACCTGAAGGAAGGAATCATTTCTGAGATAAAGAATCATGAAAAAGACGTGATCTGCCACCTTCTTTATTTATTTATTTATTTAATCAGGACAGTGCTCATTAATGAACAATCTTACACTTCAGTGCAGATTGTAAATGAGCCAGATTCTATTCCTTAGATTACCGAAACAGAGAGGTAAAAGTGAGTTTTCATGACTAAATCTTTTAAGTTATGGACACTAACACAGCCTGCATTGGCTGATCCTTCTGAACAACACAGTAAAATAAATACAAAATAAAAAACTGGAAATCTGAATGCGTAAACTGTACAAGACGGTCTGCGATCATCCACATTCATCCTCTTACCTCGTGCCTTCAAACCCACGAGAAGAATCAGAAAAGTCCATCCTCCGGCCGGTTTCATGGCTCCACTTTTCTTTTGGTCCACCGCTCAAATATTGTCCGCGTCTGTCTTGAAATAATGTCAAAACTGGGTGAACGCGCCCTGGCCGCTCTGCGCGCGCCCGCTGGCACGCGACGAACCTGGATGTGCTCGCCCCC